AATTTGACAGAGTTTACATTGTGATATGATTACATATGACAGTAACGAAACGTAATTTGTTACGTGTAATACTATTTGTGGTATCATGAAATATGATTCAAGTGTATATGACGATATAATATAAAGACGTAATACAAGTGGTAATATCACAAGTGACTTGCGCTTATACAAATTAGTTAGTTCTTATACTAAAACTTACAAACGTTAAAGTAGCATATATTTATAACAACTAAGTTGCTTATACGCAAGTAGGGTTGATATCATAATGCCAATAAATGATTTTATAATGTTGTTACCTGGTTGGCTTTACTATTCCAATCCGACATACATGTCCATTCGGAATGGACATAAATTCCAAACCGACATACAACAACTACAACACATCTGGAAGAGAATCTTCGGTCTTTAAACCCCATCGTGCTAAGAAAAAAAAATTCGATGTTATCGGACAAAGTCCGTGCACACTGCATTAATATCATTTTTATCTCAGACATAAGTCAACATCGTGTAGCGAAATACCTATCGATATGTCCTCTCCCACAATCGGTGGATGACGGTGGAACTCGAATCTGATTAGCTTTCGGTTTGTCGGGTCTAACCTGGCGATTTAATCCATGAGCATCGTTTAGGTCTTGTTGAGGAATTATAGGACCGATCTTTGTAAATCTCGGTAAAATCGCGCAGGTGGTGGAAGAAATTACCGTGAACAAAGTAAACGACGCTATGTCGGATACCTCGAGTCACGGGAAAATTGCCGTGCAATAAGAAACGTGAAGAGAATGCTACGATCTGCCCTGGCCTCAATGGAACCAAGATCTGGAGTTGCAGAAAGCAAAGCTCACCACCGAACGCCACCAGAAAACAGAGAGTTTGGCTCGTCGTGAGCGTCCCAATGGTAATCACTGATCGTGTTAAAATTAATTGCGATCGAGTTCCAAAAGCCCCCCACGATAAATTTTCTAGTTTTCTCATATAACCCCGTAATATTCTCGCGTGAATTGATTAACGGAAATTGAAAGCAGATAGAGATCGCGCAACAGAGTGTCAACACATCCTCGGCGATCAACGTTATGTGAACTTGCTGTGTTTGAACTTGTGAAAGGTAGGAGATTGTTTCGCGCGTACGTCCCAAAATGCTCTATGAAACTTTCCCAGAAATCGTTGCTACGGTGCGAAGGGTTACTCAAGGTGTGAAAAATAATAGTAAATTTATCGCTTCGGTGGCTTTTTTTACAGCACCATCGTCGAGCACTCCCAGGTGAAAGTTCCACCCTCGATATCTGTGACGCATCCCGGATCCATGATATTACGAAATGTACCTTTTTACCGATCCTCACGTGCGGACGATATCATTCTGGTCTTTTCATTTCAGCGGTGATATTAGACGCATTCTGTTGTTTGTTCTGAAAATCTATTGGTTGTAATTTTATCCAACTCGATCGAAGGTGACGGCGCACATCTCTTCTCGTAATAGGCTGGCAGACAGTGTCTACTACTTCTGATCATTAATATACATTATAAAAATCCAGTTTTACTACTACATATCAATATAATGAAGCTGAAGTGATAATAATTTTTTTCTTCGCCATGGCTATAGTACTATTTACAATCGGTGCAGTACTAATTGATTAATATGATATTTGTATCTTTTACTTTCTACTTTACGGACTAGATTTAATGTTAAGGCGACAGCGTGAATAACCCGGTAACACTAGAATCTCGTCAAAAATGGTGATTGAAGAATGGGGACAAAACCATTCCATGGCACTGACCCCTTTTTAAATTGCGTCCAATTTTCCTCTCAATGCCATGCCTGACTACGTTCCCGGATCTCTAGTACAAACCCTTTTGGGAAGCAAGTCAGCGGCCGTTGACAGTGAACTCGATGCCTTATTTAAGAATAGTGTATGTTTGACAACGTTGCGCTCCCGCATACGAGATAAACGACTAACACGCGCGTCTCCGCTTAGGCTGGTCCTGCTAAGCTTCCGTCCCTGGAGTTTAAGAAAACTTACGTGCATACCACTGGAAGCACAATTTCGGTCTCAAAATCTAGCAATGATGATAAGAAGCATGTAAAACGAGGTGAAAGAAAGGCGAGATCTAATGAAACCACAAAAAGCAGGAAACAACGAAAACCGACATTAGAAGAAGAATATGAGAAGAAATTGCTTAAAACAGAAAAGAAGACTGCGGAAAAGGTATCACGCCATACATTAGGACAAGAGTAGAGCACGCCATTTAATAAGTGTACATATCAATTGGGTATAATTCCTTTTAGAATTGTAATAATAGCTAAGGTCATTGATAAATAATGCTTATCTTTGGCAGTATGTGACAATTCATTGTGAGAGTTAAAGACTCATCAAGTTCCCTTTGAACTAGCGAAATAATGAAAATCGTGGACGTGGATCAACGTTTTTATAAACCGAGAACCCAATAATTATGTTTCAATTTTTGTGCACACTTTTGTCCAAGTAGATAGTTGTGTGAACTCTATAATCATTCTTGTTACCGCCGTAAATTTTATTCATGTATTGATTACTGTCTTTTTATAGGTCTTGAAACCACAAGAAATGCAAGCCGCACATGAGAACGTCTCTTTGACTAAATCTACCGATTCCTTTACAAAAAAACGTAAAAGTTCGCGATTAAGCAAGAAAGACAAAGCTCAAAAAAAGACCAGACTTTCAGAGGACGTGGAAAAAGTTGAGAGCAAGAAAGATTCAGAGCCTCGTAAGAAGTCGAACGATGATAATAACGAGCGGCCGCAGCAGTCAGACGAAGTGGGAGAAATAGAAGAGGAAGAGGAGGAAAAGGAGGAGGAAAAGGAGGAGGAAAAGGAGGAGGAGGAGGAGGAGGAGCAGGAGGAAGCTGATAATAATGATGAAAAAGCGCAAGAGCACAGTAAAGTGTCTGAGAAAGGAGAATTGTCGGCATTCACGAAACGTGATGATCCTAACTTATTAGAGCGAACCCTCTTCGTTGGGAATCTGTCCGTGTCTGTCGTTAAAAAGGCAAGTTATACAATATTAGCTAAACGCTAGACGACGATCTATAATATTGAGTTCATAATTCGATATTTTTACGTACCAGGCCGATTACAAGGGACTAAAACGCAAATTCTCCGAATTTGGAACAATCGAAAGCATCCGATTTCGCTCAATAGTAAAGTCTATGTGCTTCCAGTATTTGTTCTGAATTATCCACTTGGATCCGCTGCTACAACGTCTCTTAACCTTCAGGCATTTTCCGAACCGCTTCCACGTAAAGTAGCGTTCATAAGGGGAAAATTACACGCTGAACGCGACATTCTCAATGCATATATTGTATACACATGTAAAGAAGCCGTCACGAAAGCACTATCAATGAATGCTCAAGTCTTTCTGGGGAAGCATTTATGTGTGGATTCTGTTGCTAACCCAAGGGTAAGGTAACATTTATTGTGGAAAGGCTATCAAATCATTGACTATGCACTAACTCGATCCGGTTCAAGAAACACGATCGTAAACGATCTGTGTTTATTGGCAGTCTGCCATTTGACGCACAAGAAGAGCAGCTCTGGGAACACTTTAATGGCTGTGGTGAAATAGAAAGTGTGAGAATAGTGCGAGATCGGAAGACTAATTTCGGAAAAGGTTTCGCTTATGTACAGTTTAAGGTATGTTTACCACCTCTGTCAGAATTTACTACGATCCAATGATGGCTTATTCCAATATAAATAGGATCGTGCATCTGTGAATCTTGCGTTGATGCTTCACGACAGTGAACTTGGGAACAGAAAGATACGTGTTACTAAATGCATAGACTCTAGTATGCGTGACGATAATGCTGATAGAAAGAGCAAAAAAGTTATGGAAGGAACACGCGCTGTCAAGCCGAAAAAGGCACCTAGAATTAGAACGAGAACGCAATCATGGAAGGCAACACACAAGGGTAGTAGGCAAAAGAAAACTGGACCAGGCAATAAATTAGGAACCAAAAAGCATACGAGGTTTATATAAATCAACAAGAGAATATTTAATTTCTTTTCAAATGTGACAAATGGGGTGACTATGAATTCATGGTTATTATTTCTCAAATGTAAATGATGAATTATATGGTAAATGAATGTCGATATGTCAATGCTATTACCTCGAATACAACTTGTCGAGGACAGGGCCGATCTTCGCAATCAAGTCGGATGTCTGCATTGATCGGCCAAATTCTTCGAATGCTACCCGCGAGCATTCACGAACTATAGTGCATCCAGCATAACTTGCCAATACGGGTAACTCGGATGAGCGTATGCTATTGTCATGTCTTTACCAAGATGCAGACGTCATTAATAACGACCGCAGAAGTAGAACGCAGACATGTAAAGGACACTTTGCTTACTTCCATAATTTGTTCTCGTAAGCCTTACCCCAGGCAATGAATGTAGCGATGAGACCAGTAAGAATATCACCTTGCCCACCACATCTTCTTGGACTGCCAGTCGTGTCACAGACTACCACTGTAATAGAAATAAACATATATTAACACCGATTGCTATGATAATCATTGCATATTCAAATTTCATATAACCTAATTCGCCATTGGAAATGATGTCATTCTTGCCCTTCTGGACTATTGTCACTCCAAATAATTTGCTAAGACGACGCGTCTTTTCTTCCAGGGAGGTGTTATCGTTAGGTATGCCCTGTAATGATGCGTTTGGTGCGGAAAAAACGTTTCATCATAGTTACTGATCGGCTTTTCATCTTGTGTCACGCCAGCCAATGAAGAACGCCCGAACCCTATATTACCATAGTGTTGCATAGTCGTCGGAATTCGTTTACGTTTGGTGTTAATATAGCCTTTTGATAATTTTGTATTATTCCCGGATCGTTCTGGACCAGAAACAGGCCATCCTACGACACGAGTATTAATTTTTAATCCAATAGATAGGGGTGGATAATACTAGGTACGCAAACATACTGCGTCAATTATTATAGGAAGATTCTCTTTCTTTGCTCGGAGAATAATGCCTTTGGCATATTCTAACATTAATGCATCCCGTGATAGACCAGGGCCCACAATCAGAACGTGTATACGTGGAAATAATTCCGCTACAGTATCGATTATTCGTTCTGATTTTACTGTCGAACGATTGCTTTTGGAGAAGCTCAAGTCAGTTAATTGACAAGATAGCTTGGTCTTTACTCAAATATCGATACTTACTCGTTCATTCGCAAATACGGATGAACCATTAGATCTAAAAAAGAGTGCGTCGAGGAGAATGATGTAGGAAATTCTTGTGATATAACATAGGGCGATCTCTATGTGCACTTTCGAAATAGTACCTGGGGAATAACCCTATTGCGTTGAAAATCGGGAATTGTTATTGATGCATGCCTTTTATTTACAATAGACTAGGAGCAGGAAGAGCATTTTTCCAACCTTAATAACAGTTGCAGCTCCAGGTTCACAGATAACATGTGCCATGTCAACACCCTTGAATATTAAACGAATGAACATTATGAGAACTCTTATGGGAATACAGCGTGCTATATTATACGTATAAACTCACCGCTTTTAAAGCAGACATGGCGCTGAAATACGCAGCTCCCGTGTAGCTGTACTTTCATAAAACAATATTAAACCAAATCAATGAACACACCAAATTCAAACGTCAACAAAGTTAACTTACTCTACTTACTCTTCAGAACCACCAACTACTCCAACTCTTCCTATTACAATGCTTTATTAATACACATTCTTTATTGAATAATGTGCAAGCTTCCAAGACTACCTGCTTGGCCTTTGTGGAAATCATGAGAGAGGGGTAGAACAATTTTTTTAATTTTGTCCACAATGACAGCTTGCGAAGTCATCCTCACAAGTCGTTGCATGAGTTCTAAATTCTCGAGGGTGGATTATCCATGATCTGAATTTGGTTGGATGATGACATCATATGTAATCCCGTGAGTTTCGGAGACTGGTTTCTCGCGAGCTGCAAACCCCCGTGATCTGTTAACTATTGGGTATCAGTTCAGCATGTTCCTCATTAAATTTGAAATACTTTTTAGGACGCAAATGGAAAGTCTAATTTCTCACCACAGTCCCCCGCGTTTGACAAGTTGTGACATAATATAAACAAAAGATGGAGAATGTTGATTATCATAACATATATCTCATTACTTACTGAAAAACAATGTATAACTTACTAAATTTAGTAGTAGTTAATTCGAGATACAGTTTATCCTAGAAGATTCTTGTACTGCGGCTCTCTTTGGAATACGTTCTGTGCTTAAAAACGCTTTCCACCGAGCCGAGTGATGGTATAAATACATACGCATCTGAGATTGGGAAGCTAAAGCACAAAATTAAACCATTACTGGTCGAATATTTATCGCTAATCTATTGTTGATAGTTTACAGTATTGATGATTGAGTCGTAGACTTCAATCTTGTGCCAGTTCCATTGTTGATGATCTCCTCTCGTATTATACCAGCACACATCCAAATGAATTACAAGGAATATCTCTACTTCTTTTCTAAGTTATAATAATACTGTTCCGCTTGTTCTATGCAAACGACGCTAGACATTAATTTGTCTATAGTCTCCTGATACTCAACTTCTTCCTTGCTATCGTGTACAATCCCGCCACCTACAAGTAAAAAACTTTATCAACTTGATGTTCAATAATAAAGACATTGATGAGCAAAGAGCATGTACAGCACTGACCTGCTTGCAAATATGCAATTCCATCTTTAAATACTATAGTACGGATAGCTATACAAGTGTCTATTGAATTACCAAAATCAAAATGCCCGACGGCGCCGGCGTATATACCACGTTTTTCTTTCTCCAGCTCGTATATAAGTTCCATGGCTTTCACTTTTGGTGCTCCAGATACAGTCCCAGCAGGGAAAATCGACCGAAATGCATCAAATCTATGTAGCAGAAACAACATCTTGATTACTAATATAACATTGACGAAGAACCAAGCAATTATGTATATGTACCTAGTTTTTCCCTCGCGAAGTTTACCGGATACCTTGCTTACTATATGCATAACGTGACTGTACCGTTCGACTTGCATGAGGGAGTCGATCTTCACGGTTTTTGGTTGACAGACACGGTTCACATCATTTCTGCCAAGATCTACCAACATTACATGTTCGGCACGTTCTTTAGGATCATTCAATAGCTCTTTCTCCAAGTTTTCGTCCTCTGGTTACAATAAAAACTGGTGAGCGCTATTGAAGACAAGTCAACTTGAAACACAGATTAATTCCCACCTTCGACAGTTTTTCCACGCTTTCGTGTTCCTGCAATAGGATGAGTATAAACCGTATCATTCTCGACACGAACAAGAAGTTCTGGTGATGCCCCAACAATCTTGAACTCTTTTAGATCCAGATAAAACATATATGGCGAGGGGTTAAAAGTACGCAAATGACGGTACGCATTAAATGGATGCAGCGTAGTAGGACGCGCAAGTCTTTGCGATGGAACAGCCTGGATTATATCCCCGGCCTTGATATGTCCTTTTAGACTAGTTACGAACGCTTCATACCCGGCCTTGCCTACATTAGAAGTAGATTTCTGATTAAGATCGATGTACCCCTGAGGAATGTGAACGGGTTTGTCTGTCTGAAGAAGAGCTAATACGCGCTTAATCTTATCCACTGCTCGATGATATTCATATTTTATTCTTTCAGGATCCGTAGACGCGCTCTTGTAATGCGACACTACGTTTAGCAATTGGTATAGATGATCGAAAATGATGATAGTGTCGCAAAACAAAAAGATCGAATCAGGAAGACCAACTGGATCCTTCAAATCACGTGCAACCCGAGGTTCGAAGTGTTTGATACAGTCATAAGCAATATATCCAATTGCGCCACCTGTATGTTCGATGCCGAGATTAGTAAAGACAGCGTAATCCTCACGTTATTGCATGTTTCCTCCTTTACGCGCGCAGAATAAACATTTTTTATTTCACTTACCCGTAAAAAGCGGAAGTCCGGCAACTGGTACATATTCAATCTGTTTCAATTCAGCCTCCAAAGCAAGAAGAGGATCGCCTTTGACAATCTCATTATCACCAGTCCTCAATACCTTGTATGGGTCTATGCAGTGGATGCAGATCAAAACATGGGACTGTCAGCGAACAACAAGTGTTCAGTCCCTTATATGAACAACAACCAAAAAAAAGCCCAACTTACCGGTACCCAAAAACGAATATCGTCCAATTTTTTCACCACCAGCCACAGACTCAAACAGGAATGAATAATCACTTTTCTCTGCAATACGCAGATATGCACCTACGGGCGTTAATAGGTCCGCATGTATCTGTGCATAAACTGGTATGGTATTGCCTTTCTTTGCGGCAATAATTGCTTCGACATCCTCAAGGGACGGTTTCAGCGTTAACTATATAGTTAAACGAATTAGAAAATCTGTTTCAGAGGACTTTATCATACTTGAACCAGCTTCTTCGGGCATCTTGGAAAGAAAATGCTTACCATCATTACAAAGTAAAAGTATAAAACCCTCAAATATTATTAAAAATCAACATATATCAATTGCTCCAATAAAAGTAGTTAGACGCTCAAAAAAGGCAATCCTGTTCTCTTACATATTCATTGCATTCAAGTAGTGCAAAAGGTATAATCTCACCGGACAAATCTTACCAAAAGCGTCACTAATACAGTTAAAGCGACTGCTGACATCACCTCACATTTCCCCCTTCCTCCTTTCGTGTTACTTGGGCGATGAGGCCATCAGGCATCCTCTAACCCTATCCAAAGACCAGCGCAGAATCCCTAAGCAAACGCACGACGTTTTGTTGACGACCTCCATCCATCCATCCCGTCGGTTCAATACCAACCAATCTTATCGTAACGTTCGGCAAATTCTCGGGTCGCGAAAGCCTCCAGAATAGGCCAATATTCTTACCTAATTTGAACATCTTCCCCCCCTCCTTTATACGGGTCTTAACGTGAAGAGAATGGCCGATTCGGAGAATGGTTGG